TGCACGGCATAGCCCATAGCTTCTCTGAATTACTCAAGCCCCTTCACCACAACAAGGCAGCAATCTGTGAAGGGGTGTGAAATGGTATGACCCATTTAATGTTTAAGTCATCACTGGGTGTATGTTCACTTACATTAGATACCACAGAGCTAGCTATTTGTTCCAGCACAGAAATACTGTTCCAGAATAACTTGAAATCTTTGCTCAGGTAAAAATGAAAGCAATTGAACATACACATAATTGAAGTAAAGCAGGTGCCTCTAAGTGATTTGCAGTTGTTCTAATGATGACGGCTTGTGCTCAGTAGGACTAAGTTTTTTAAAAACACTTAATGTTAATTGTTATAAGAGAAAAATCTGATCATGATATATGCCTTAAAAGAGACTATGCTCTTCATGGACAGCTTGGTGAGAAAAGCCTTCCAATATGAAACCAATACTAATGCAACAGCAGGAAATACACTGTGGTTTACCAATGAGAGAAAGAGCTAAAGTTGTTATTCTTTCACTCAAGTGTTTCACCATATACAATATGTTAATTTCACCAGCTATATTTCAACATGAATGCCCCCAGACCTTTTCATCTTATTTGCTTAGTCTCAGATTGCTAATACATTTTATGACTAAGGTCCCCAATGTAGCTCAAAAAACAAGCCATTACAGTAACTACAAAGTAAATCAATGATGCTATCTTTAAAAGAATGCAATTTAGTTTTTTAAAACATCATAGTATTAGTTCTCTGCAGCCTATAAGAACAATAGTTGGCAGGAAAAAAATTCAAAGCCCTGCTGAAAGAGACAGCAGAACAGATCTATCAGGAAGGAGTTTCATAGTTGCTCTGCTTATTACAATTAAAAATGCTGTATGTCAACAAAGCAATATTCAGGAATAATCTGCCACAGCATGGACATCAAAGAGAAAGTGACAGACTAGTGCTGGCCACTTATAGACTGTGACTAAAAGCACTTACAATTCCAAAATCACTTTAGAGAGGCAATATAGTAAAGAGCATTGGTTTCCAGCCTTCTGTAACCAAAGTGTTCTTGGACTGCAACTCCCAGAAACCCCAGCCAGCACATCTGATGGTAAAGGCTTCTGGGAGTTGCAGTCCAAGAACACCTGAATTACTCAGGGTTGGGAACCACTGGCACAGTTAATAGGGTGACAGACAAGGTATCAGGAGACCTGGATTTGAATCCCTAGTCAACCATGGAAACTCACTTGATGGGGGTGGCAACAGTAAAATAA